GCTCGAAATTTAGGATGGAAAATTAGTTGAGAATTGCCTTGGTTGCTGCAACTTATTACTGCATCTACCGCAGTCGGCAAGCTGATGTGGCTGTTGTTCATCACACTATTTTCGTTGTTGTCATAGTAGTTATTTGCGTCGAGGAGGAACATCTGCGAGTTGTTTCAGTAGAGTCGTCCATGTTGTTTCAGTAGAGTGTCTAATTCCTCCACAGGTTGTGCTACGTAGTAATATAAATCTCACCCTTATGGAGGATCCTTTGCGTTTGCTGCTCTTGTCACCCTCATAGAGTGGTTGCTGATGGCTCAACCATATATGACTATATGAGCACAACCATAGCTTAAACAATTTGGAGCAGTTTTTTGAGAAACAAAAGTGCTGAGCAGTCTTAATTATATGGCACTTATTTGTCAGTGCAGCTAGCTCAACTTAACATTTGTGGTGTCTTAGGTACAGATTTTCCTAGTTTTTTTTTTTTTGGAATTCAGGTCTTGCTACTATCCCAGGTTTAGTTGTCTAGGTCCTTCCAGTAATGACTAGAAGGGCGGGCCTGGTATAAGAGGTAGAGTCTTATTTCATACGTACTTCCAGTTGAGTGATCATCCCAGCAAATTATTGGCCACACTGATCTGCCCAGCTCTTTCCACTTTTTTTGTTTCAGGAATTCAGGGTGTATATTAGTGCCCTTTCTTATTAGTTGTATATCTATATGACATTCTCCGTATCCACACTTACATGGTCCTAACCAAAAGAGCCATTAGGGTGCTGTAAGTTGTACTGGTTGTAACATGACAACAACTAGAAACAGTATGCAAGCTATTTTAAATGCTATGCTCTTTTGCGATTCTCTCCAGATTCTAGACGTGTTATTGGAGTAAACCAGTAAACTGGGCAAAAAAAAAAAGTAGTATAACTGTAGTGTAGATTAATGTTCTTCTTTCTAACAAATTGTGCATCAGGTTATCAAGCAAGTCTGTTTCTGTTTAGAGCACTAGCTAGGCATGTCTGTATTTGCAAAATCCTGGTAGAGAGACTGTTATGCATCACTTATCTTCACAGCCAAAGACCTTTGCTGGATTACACATGAGCACAAACTGCTGTTTTGATGTTAATTTGTAGTAAAATGACCATTCCATACAGGATTGAAGGGCTGAAGGTTTCTGAACTGCAGAGTTCTCAATTCATGTCATCTCATCTCAGCTTTGCCTTTGGAGTTCAAGGACTGAAGGTTTCTGATGACTTCTTGTCACTAGTTGTAGTCTTTAAAGGACTAAAGGTTTCTGATAATTATTATTTATTGTTTAAGATTACTCATTCTTCTCCTTTTAAGTTTAATGACAAATGGCTGTAGATACTACCATTGATGGCATTACTCATGGTTTGTCATCTAAACTGAAGAAAATGGAATCTTAGTTTTCTTGTGCCAAGTTTTGTACTAATTAATAAGTATATGTCTATCAGTAGAAATGTCCTTGTCATGTTTTTATATTTCCAGATTTTTTTTCTGATTTTTTTGTATTTTGTTCAAGTATGTGAATGGATTGTAAATTGAGAGAATTATCTATTTGGCACTAAAACAAACCAGTGTTTCATATTTGGCACTAAAAATTTTAAACTTTCTTATCTGACATCAAGTTGAAATTTTCATCCGTAAATAGCACTACTGTCTATTTTCACCGGTAACGATGTTAAGTGGCTTGCAAAATGACGTAAGTGCCCTTGTTTGTAGTAGGCGTTTGTAGCATGCATGTACGCTGTTGCTACTTCTGCACGCATGTTGATGCTTGCTGTGTTCATCGTGACCTTGGACTCGTCGAAGCTGAGCACGCCGTCGCCGTCGAAGTAGTAGGCCAGCTCACTCTCGCTGCTGACGGTCGACTCTGGGGAGGAGACGTCGCTGGTGGGCGAGTTGCTACTCCACGCCGGGGTGGTGTCGCCGTCATCGTCGCTGCAGGACTGCCATTATTCTGAGCGCAGGTTGCTGGTGCCGCAGCAGATGCTGGCCAAGCGCGGCCGCGGCGGCCACGCGCTGGATGGCCTTGGGCAACATGGCTGCGGGGGGCAGGTAGAACGGGAGGCGGAACGGGAAGTTGAGATCCACCGCGGCCGCCGATTCCTCGAGGCAGAGCAGCGCGGCGTCGTAGGCGCGCGCCGCGGCCTCGGCAGGGGAGTGGGAGCCGAGCCATATCCGCTGCCGGCGGCGAGCCCGGGGCGTGCGAGAAGCCGCAGCTGGCGGCGCCGGATCCGAGGAACGGCCGCTAGGCGAGGTCCTGTCCTTGCCGGCGAGCTTGGCGCTCTAGTAGTAGAGCCTGCCGGCCTCCGCATGCAGGCGCGTCACGAGCCGCGCGAACTCGGCGGCATCAAGGAGCCCGTCGCCGTCCGCGGCCGCCGACGCCACCATCACATCCGACGCCATGCGTGGCCCACGGCTTTCCGTGCAGCCGTGCGAGGTCCGCGCCAGCGGCTTTCCGTGCGCACCCAGGCACTCGAAAACTCCGGGGCGGGCGCGTGGGAGCCGGGCGAACGCCATGCTCACCCACGCTCGCTTGTGCTGCCCACGCCGCCATGCTTGCTCGCTAGCCGCGCTTGCCCGCGTCACCGTGCTAGCCAGCGTGGCCGCGCTCGCCCGCGCCACCGTGCTCGCTCGTTGGCCGCGCTCGCCCATGCCGCTGCCTTGCTCGCTCGCTGGCCCGGTCGACCGTGCCCCCACCGTGATCGCTCGAGCTGCAGCGCACCGGATCCGGAGGAAACCAGTCGTTTCTCCCCCAACGCAATTTCTCTCGTTTTTTCCTGCGTTGAACCGCGTGAGGACGTCATTCCTTCGTAAGGAAACGATTTCTTCTTTCTATACCCTCTCTCTACAATAACTACTGGCCTGGTCAAATTGCACGCGTGAGTAACACAGGGGTATATTTGACATACGGAAACCAAACTGACGAGGTTGAACCAGTCAACTAACAAATGGACGGTGAAAATAGACGGAAGTGTCATTTATAGAAGAAAATTTCAATTTGGTGCTAGATAAGAAAGTTCAAAATTTCGAATGCTAAATATAAAAGAATGATTTGTTTCAGTGCCAAATAGATAAATCTCCCTTGTAAATTTGTGCAATTTTAGAGATGCAAGTTGACATGAGTGAACGAGCTACTTGACGCAACTCTTTCCAACTACGTATAGTTCAGAATCTTCAACTACTTGATCCAAGATGTGGGCTTTGTGACAGTTCAAAACAGTTAAACACATACTAAAGCCAATCTCAATGGCAAGTTTCATCTCACGGATACCAAGGTTTGGGTGGATGAATGAAACAACCTCTCTCGGTGGATAGTTTCATCTCACAGTTTCATAGATTACGAACATCTTTAAATTATTGCACAGTGCTCTGATCAAATGTTCCATGTGATTATGTGGCCATATTTGATCAAACTAACACGAGACTGCATAAGTTAGCATCCTTAAGTAGCGTACGCACAAGAAGCAGATACAATACTGCACAAGCTAGCATCCTTCGTTAGTTTACGCACAAGACTACACAAGCTAGCATCTCTGTCTTTCAGGTCGTCAGCATGCTTCCCATCAGGTGCTACGTCGCTGAAAACCATCAAACTTTAAAAAAAAACCAGACCAGTGTCGGAGGCTCCTACGTGAGTGTGGTCGAAGAAGGAAAAAATTAAGGTAAGTCTTCGCCCGCAAAATCTACGGAGAAGCTGTTGGGAACCCGCGACCTAGTCTAGAGAAAGAAAAAAACGAGATAAGCCTCGCCGCAAAATCTACGAAGAGGCTGCTTCAAACTCGTGACCTGATGACTCAGTTGCACTAGGTCTGCCCTTCTATCAAACTTTATACTACTGCAAAAGATATATTGAAGAACTCCACTTGATAAAACACAGAGTCAATCACCCTGTTCGTTGGTCGGTGCTGGTGCTGATTTGGGCTGGCTAGTGCTGGTTTTTTTTTTAAGAGAAAAATATTGTTGGCCGATTAACGAGCGAATATAGCGATATTTATATGAACCAACGAAATATTCCTACCTGCTACTAGAACAGAGAACTCTGTATCGATAGAAGAAACACTGTACGAACATACAGCAGAGATTTGGCGGCAGCGGCGTACGCAAGGAATCGCGCTAGTGCATTTGGGGGAGGACGGACGGGCGGTGCGCAATGGCGACGCCGGCGCCCGTACCGGTTCCCCGCGCTGCCGGAGAAGGAGGAAGGCGAGCAGGTGGCCACGCGGTCAACCAGGCGGCGCAAGTGAGGACGTTGGAGACAGCACGCAAGCCACGGCCTGACGACGGCTCTTTCTCACCGCCTGCCGAAACAGTTCTCCGCCGCAAATAATAGCGAGGGATGCACCAGCAACCTCGTCTTGTCGCCGCTGTGCATCTACTCCTTAGCCATCCATTCTTAGTTAGCTAGCTCGCGGCATACGCGGACACGGGACGGGCTGCCCGCCGCCGCGCCGCTTGCACGCAGACGCTCTACGACGGGGCGTCCCACTTCTCGGTCAGCAGCAACGGTGTACTGTCAATCTGTCATCAACGCGGGCATGGCCGTGAGCTGGTTTTACATGGCCTCATACCTCATGGGCCTCCCGTTCTACGGCTGCTCGTGGTTCCTGCGCCGAGGCCCAGGCCCGCCGTGATTCAAGCAAGGTCTCGTGTCAGATTCGACGCCGAGCTCCGAAGTTGCAAATTTGCATTGACTAGGAAGCTTCCTCACACCCCACATTTGGAAGGTATCCGTAATCCCGTATCCCGCCGGATCTCCATCGGCTACTCAGACTCGCCGAAATATGGAAGCCTACGAGGCATAGGCCCTAGCCTTAGCCGCGCGTGTTCGGCCCCGCCGCCGTCGTGCAGCGTTCGATCCGTGGCAAGAGCTGCCTCCCATATATACCGCCCCCTCGCGGCCTGCCTGCCCCGCCGGAACAGTAACCGATTTCTTTCTACTACTAGTACGACGCAGGGGATGACGGGAAAGCGGAGGACCGCCGAGCGTATGCAGGGGATGACGGGAAAGCGGAGGGCCGCCGAGCGCGCGCAGCAAGGCGCAGCGGGGCGAGGCCGCGGGCGCGGGCGCGGGCGCCGCGCGTTGGGCCTCATCCGCGACCGCCGTGCGCGGGTCGACACGTTTGGCAAGCGGAAGGAGACGCTCAAGGTCAAGGCGTACGAGCTCTCCGTGCTCTGCGGCGTCGACGTCGCGCTCGTCGTCGCCGCAGCGGACGGCGACGGCGACGGCGGTGGCGCGGCGGCGGACGTGTGGGAGTCCACCGAGGGCGCCGTGCTGGCCCGGTACCGCGCGCTGGACCCGGAGGTGCGCGCGCGGCACACGCACCGGGCGTACCTCGAGGGCGGGCTGGGCAAGGAGGAGGCCAAGCTCGCCCGCGTGCGCCAGGCCGGGCCCACCGGCCTCGACCCCTGGGACAAGGCGCTGGACGGCATCGCCACGGCGGAGGAGGCGCAGGGGCTGCTCGAGGCCATCGACGCCGCGATACGGGCTACGGAGGACAGGATGAGGGCGCTGGATCTTCCGGTCGACGGCGTCGGCGCTGGCGTCGTGCTCGAGGGGGTCGCGCCGCTCGCCTTTGCTGGCGCGGACGGTTACTCGCTGCACGCCCCCGGCGGCGGCGGCGACTACGACAACCAGGCCATATGGGCCAATGATGGCGTTCAGGCGTACGGCTTCCAGCAGTGCACCACCGGCAGCGGCGGCGCGGGCATGGATGGTTACCACCTGCAGATAACGCCGGACATGTACGCTGCCGGCGGCAGCAACAACAACAGCGGCCGCCTCGCGACGGACTACCACCTGTACCCGCCGCGCGATGCCGGCACGCTGCAGCACGGCTACGGCTTCCACCAATGCGCAGGCACCGACTACTTTGGCATACCCGCTGGCCACCAGATGCAGGAGTTGCTGGGGTGGGGCGCTGCCCAGACCAATATGGCCATGTGGTGCACCGAGGAGCCGCACCATGCCATGGTGCCTGTCCACTACCCCTCCGCCGAAACCGGCCTCAGCTACATGGACATGACGGCGGCGCTCGGTGGCCAGGGCAGCGGCGGCTTGTCCTTTGCCATAGGCGGCAGCTGCAACTTCGTCAACGCGCCACCAGAACTCTCCCTCGCCATGGTCACCACCGGCTGCGGCGGCGGCGACGACTTAATCAACGCGCCACCAGTAGCCTTCTCCCACGCCATCGGTGGCACCAGCGACAACTTCACCAACACAACGCCAGCCCAGCCGCTCGCCATGAGCTACGGCGCCGACCTGACAGTTCCCGGCGGGTACGCGACGCAGTGGCAGACAGCCCAGCGCGCCGGCAGTGGCCAGCAGTCCGGCGTCGAGCAGCTGCATTACATCAGTGACCTCGAGGACGCGCAGTCGCAGGCAGCCCAGAAGCACCAACACGCCGGCAACGGACCGCAGTCCGGCATCGAGCTGCTGCATTACCTTAGTAAGCTGGAGGAGGACACGCAGCTGCATCTATGGGGAAACTAATCTAGCAAGTAGTAGTAGTAGTGTACAGCGTCGTAGGGTCAGATGTGCGTGCGACATCACGAGTCCGGCAATTTTGGGCGACAGAAGTCTGGCCGCCGGGTTCTGATGATGTCGTCGCCGCCACCGCCGCCCATGGTTCCCGAGCAATTTTCCAGGCCAGCTAACAAGGGACAGGGGCTAGGCATATTAGGTAGGTTGTGCATGGGCATCGGGTGAAGACCCCGGAGATTGCTCACTTCAGCTGCTCGGCTAGGTAAGAATCTGGCAAAAGTCCGTCAGTTTTGTACCTCTGCCTGATTGATGGATGGAGCAGTTTCTGTTAGCGTATAGGAGATAGGATAATTTTAGGATTCATCAGGAGTTTTGTTAGGCTGAGAAGTTGCAGAAACTCTCATCTCTGGAGGTTATCCTTGCAATCATGTAATAAATACAAATACATATATAAGTATACATCAAATATCTCTCTCTACTGACAGCGAACGAAGTGCTTCTGTCCACCAATGTCTTGAGCCACCGGTGCAGAAGGACGGATGAGATCAATACGTGTACCGAAGGCGTACTTCAGGAGCTTTACGATCTTTTGGCTTTCAAAGTGCAACGTTTTCTTTATATTATTTCCTATGCCCATGCGTGCAGCGTGCCTGAGAGCTTAGACGTTTTTTTATATATACGGTTAGGCCATGCAATATTCAACAAGTACTAACTCCTATGAATATTTTTGCTATACTAGGACAGAGCTCTCCAAAAAACGACCCTCAATTTATTTCTTTGTATTTGAGCACATAGGTTTTTTTTCATTTCAATGCAATTGTGTACTCGTCAAGTTTGTGATTTGAGTTTGTTTTCAGCTATTTTATATTCCATAGGTGCCTTCAAGAAAAAAAATACTCCACATTAAAATCGACTTTAATCACCTAACGAAATAATAATAAAGTAGATGTCTACATTTTTCTCAATTTAATACAGTTGGTCTAACTTATTAGGATGCAATGGATTTCTAAAATGTCAATAATTTAATTTATTAAAGAATGGTCTTGAAAAGATTTAACAATTAATTAATGAATAATTCTTTTGAAATAAATGTTAGATGCTATTTTGAAGACATGTTTGGTAAAGAAAAAAAAGAATGATACGTTTTCAAGCAATATATGTGTATCCAACCCAGTCTGCGAAGGTGCTCTTAGGGATAAGGTATGCGTGCGTGCATTCATAGAGGTGAGTGTGAGTGCGCTGTGAGCTTCTGCGTTGTATTGTATAATTAAAAATACATTATATCTTGTAGATAAGTTTAGGGCTTTTTAATAAATTTAGCATAGGGCCTGTGAAATCCTCGGGATGGCCCTTCAGAAAAAATGGTTTGGAGAACAGGGTCTAGAGAAAGGCCATCATCCATGTTGTCACAGACTCACTGTTGTAGAATGGACGACTTATAGTGGTTAGGTTCGATCCCTAAGTCTAAAAAATTTAGCGTGATAAAAATCTATGATATATTTAAATAAAAAATTATGTTGTCCCCTCTCACCTCACAAAATTTGTCATGAAGAAACAAAAAGGGGAAATATATGGGTTGGACCAACTCATCGAACCACACGTTAGTGTAGAGATTTATCTGAACATAGTAAAAGCTTGAAGAGAGGTAATTTGGACCTTTTGAAAATATAAGTTGTTGCCAAACTTGACCTTGTATTCAACGAGTATTCGGGAATGGTGATTAAAAAAGACTTGACCTATAGGGGATAAGAGAGTCCTGCTACGACGACCTTGAGAAAACCCACAAAGTACTGCCCCAGCCATAAAGACAGCTTAGTTCTGGGCCTTTTATCGGAGCACTATGGACTGCGACAGCTAAAGTTTCTGCCAAATTCAAATACTCCCTTCTGAAACTTATATCAATGAATTTGTATTCAAAGTGGCTCCGAAAATATATTCATTCGTTAGCAAATGACAATAGATTAACGGTCTTAAATCTATTTTTACTTTGTTCGACTCTTTTCTTGATCAGAATATGCTTATCATTCTGAGGAGTTCAGTAATGAAGACATTGGTTCAGTGAGGATGATTAGCCAACACGGAGTCGTGGGAAACACATTAAACAGGACACAAGCAAAGCAATCTTCCTCAGCTGTGTGGGCAATTTACCACTGACAATATAATACAAGCAAACAGATAAAGAAACCTAGATTGAAATGTGTAAACAATAAAAATTTGAAATTAGGCATCCACATTGACTCCAAGCAACACAGCATGTCCATGGCTCCGAAACGTCTTATTGAAATGAGCTCATTGGAAGGTGATCCAAGTGAAGAAGGCCAGGCCATCTTCCAAACAGAAGGCACGTAAGAAAAGGAAGCCTCAGTAGTTTTGTTTGTGGCCAGGGAAACGGATCTATGAGGAATTGCTCGCAATTGCCCACGAGCATCAAAAAGCGGTTTCTCAATGTCTCTCTACTGTACCATTGTGTCTCTATTCTACCATTCCACGCTGCTTGAAGATTTCAAACATGGTAGAACCAATCTTCGCTGGTGACTCGACAACGGTAACACCGGCCTCTCTGAGTGCCTTGATTTTGTCCTGGGCAGTACCCTTCCCTCCTGCCACGATAGCTGCACGTTCACAACAGAAGGATCAAACTGGATTAGCAATGCAACACTTGTGCCAAACCTGATGAAAAACTGCATTAGTACACACTAGTATGTGTAATATGAAATACAATTAGTATGTGCAGCAAACTAAGGGCCTATTCAGCACACAAGATTCATGCAAGATTTTGAATTTGTAAAATAAATTAAATGGCTAAAACATGTATCATCCAAGATGCTTTTAATATTCCCACAGCTCCAGCTCCAAAAAAATTTTGGAACTGAGCTGTGCCCAAAGTGCAGTCAAAATCAGAATGGCCAGATGAATGAATAACAGCACTACAGTTAGTTGATGACTACAGCTATTCAACAACGCAAACCAGGTTTGATGAATGTCATAGCAGTAAGCCAGTAACAAGGGATTTTCTCCATTTTGCAGACATGATTTCAACGCTAACACAAAAAATATATACAGAATTGCCCTCACCTGCAAATGACTGAACAGATACCACATTCATCCTGGTGCGATACAGTCATACAGAATTGCCCAGACTCATAAAGAATAGAATGGTAAAAAGAACATTCCCAGTAACTTATCTCAACTAAATGCAAGGATCATATTTCAACTTAATACATAAAAGTACAGTTGAATGGAGCTAAAATATGTAGATTAAGAATTACAAAGGGCAAAGAATGAAGAGCTAGGTTGGTACCTCCAGCATGACCCATGCGACGACCTGGGGGTGCTGTAAGTCCAGCAATGAATGCAACGACAGGCTTTTGTGTTTTGCTTTCCTGAGGTATTTCAAAACAGATGAAATTAGTAGATAGGAAATGTAACTTTTTCTTTATTTTTTTTTAATAAAAATGTAACTTTAAGCTCCAACAACCAAAACACAAGACATGCATCCCTATAAATCAATAACAGCACTTCTGAAGTGACTGGTGACAATTTACCCCTTTATGGAATCAATAAGGCATAAGCATTAGTAATTAGTTTTTAAACTTCTAACCTCACCAGTCATTCCATATCACATGAAAACCTTTTTGAGTTCATTGTAGCTACCTTGTCTATAGAAGACCGCAAGAATCTCTTAATGCAATGACACGCAGCTCCCTTCATGTTTGAAATATGGCAAAAGTAGATTGCCGACAAGTAGTTTTACTAAATCTGAATGCATATATCAGATGGATAAGATGGTCTAGAACATGCGCACCACAATGCAGCTTACTTAGGAACTGTATGCACTAGATTAAGCTAGAGTTGTGGTATAAATCAGGGCCAAGGCATCTAGCTTAATTCTGTCTGTTTCCTACAAGCATAATCCCCCTTTCTACTAAAACTGTAACCTGAGGCAAGAACATATGCAATTGTTTACGTGTTGTAAGCCAGTTCATCATTCGAAAACATGATCCAAATATGCATCATCATATTTTGTGAAAGGCAAAAAGGGCCTTCAAGGTATGTATCTTCGAAACATAGTGCCAACTGCCAACACTCAAATACTCCAGAGGAGACAACAGTTCAGAAATATTTTGTGAAATAAAAGCCAACAACATCACAGATATGAGTACTTTTTATTAGCAGTCTAGTACTCTGGTATGCAATATTGCATGTAATACAGAAAAAAGGCTATCCAAACTAAAGCCCTAACACACTCTTTACCTGGATGAATGTTGCAGCATCCTCCTCAGCCGTACCTCCAATTTCACCAATGAGAACAATACCTGAAAGACATAGAACAGTATTCAACACTGAGAACAATACAAAATGGGACGGAGCTGTGTTGACTGAAAAAAGCATATGGATGTAGCATTTGAAATGAAAAAAATGCAGTTTTGAAGTATTCAAGTACCAAAAATGCCAAAAACAAGGGATAAGTGCCACAGAGAAGAGTACAGAGAATCCAGGAAGAAATATTTCATAATAGAATTAAAAAAGGAAGGCTTTTGCTTAAAATATGAGGCCTTAATCTCAAAGTGTTGGAATATAAGTGAATTGCCCACCTCTCCCCATCAGCTTAAGCTTTTGGGTTGAACTGGTCGGTGCATGCAACTCAATACAAAGGTGTACCTTCTGTCTGAGGGTCATCAACAAACTTTTCAAGGCAATCAACAAAATTTGTGCCATTGAACGGGTCACCACCAATGCCTACACAAGTTGACTGCCCCAAGCCTACAGCTGTTGTTTGAAACACCTGTCAACAAAAATCAAACGTGCATTAACCAAATAATTACCTGATTTGGTTCGCACATACAAAAAATAATAATAGCAGGCATACCGCTTCATATGTCAAGGTACCAGAACGAGATACGATCCCAATACGCCCAGGCTTGTGGATGTAACCTGGCATGATTCCAATTTTACACTCACCAGGCTTAATGATACCAGGGCAATTTGGCCCAATCAATCGAGTTTTAGACTGCCTGTTTAGTGCAGCCTTCACTTTCACCTAAATTTGCAAATGAAGCATTATGGTGTCACCTCATGGAATTCCATCAACAAAGCAAAATATAACTAACTGATTTATGACATGAGTCAATAGCAATATGCAGAAAAAAAAAATACCACAAAAGGAATGTCTGCAAGCAAACCGCTCAATGGACCATGGTAGTAAAATCTGTGTCTATTACGATCACCTACATCTATTTGCCAAAATTTGAGCCCCATCCTGCACAAAAGGGAATAATAGCCTACTACATGTCCATCTGTGTAAGATAAACTAAGATAAGCATTGACCACACATTCACACTACTTTCTAGTCCTTTTGCCAAAAATAAAAGACTTTGTAATTTATATGTGCAGTGATTTCCAAACCAAAGATGATATGGCATTGAGCAGATTCCCAGGTTCAGATGACTAACAAAATACAGAAATGGTTAAAAATTACCATGTCATGCTGCGGAATTCCTTCGGTAATGCATACGACAAGGTCGAGCTCAGCATCCATTGCCTCCATTATAGCGGCGGCAGCAAATGGTGGTGGAACATATATAACAGATGCATTGGCTTTTGTTTCAACCTTAGCTTCTGCTACAGAGTTAAACACTGGGAGCCCTAAATGTTCAGTTCCACCTTTCTTAGGAGTCACTCCACCAACCTGTTACAACAAAAAAGAACCTTAATATAAAAAAGGAGAGAGAGAGAGACTACAGGCAAAACATAAAAATAACAATATTAGTTATAAGATTTAAAAGATATATCTGTTTACTGAAATACTGTTGAAACATGCAAATCATAGATCAAATATTTTGTGCAGCATGAACCGCTTTCAGTTATATTCATAATAATATTAGTATAATACCACATGGCAGAAAAAGGTAGCATCTGGGTCAATTCCATTGTCAGAAACAGTGTGCAACATTATTTACATGAATCTGTGGTCAACAACATAAATGTAAAACATGCCAGGTCCATGGAACAATCATGCTAAAAAACAGACTCCAACATGCTTAGTGCCTCACTTCCTTCTTCCTACATTACAATTTGGTTGTCTGAGGACTGCAGCCCATTTACATAAAACAGATTGGAAACAAAAATTGCCTCGGTCCCACTTAGTGAAGAATAATTACATCATAAGTCATACATGATTCTTTTTTTGTTAGGTTGTACTTAGAAGAGCTTAAAAGGTTTCAAAGCATTCATGATGGGTATGATTCTCATAATCTCAAGCTGGTTCAAATCAGGTTTCCTGTGAAGATCCTTTTTCTCAAACCATAATACACATGCTTCCTGAGAAATGCATATGCTTCCTGTCTACCAGACAAATGCTAAACAGCAGTTATAGTTGCAAACATTTTGCCTCCAACATCTTCCGTTAAGGGTCGCTCTCAATCGGAATGTAAGGTAGCCAAACGAAAGAGTAAGACCCGAGGAAATGGAGATCGGCGACCGCGCAGCACGAACACCTCCAAACCCTAGAATCGCGCGGCACAGAACGGAGCACACGGATCGGGCCATTGAGGGGCACATCAAAGGGAGACAGACGAGGGGTGGCCGCGGCGGGGTCGTACCATGTTAGTGCCGTACTCGATGGCCTGCTCGGTGTGGAAGGTGCCGTTCTTCCCCGTGATGCCCTGGCAGATCACGCGGGTGCTCTTGTCGACGAAGACCGCCGGCGAGGGCGCCGCGGCGGCCGCCGCAGCGAAGCCCCTCGCGTGGAGGAGGCGGGAGGCGGCGGACCCCAGCAGTTGCGACGCGCGGCGGGAGGAGGCGGCCATGGCGGACGCGGTGCTGGCGGCGGCGCGTGCTCTTCGCCTCTTCCCCCCTTTTTTTTCTTCTTTCTTCCCCCGAGTCGATTCGATTTCTTGCGGGTTTTTGGGATGGTGCCCCTCGCCTTCCTTTGTCTTCGGTCTACTCTTCCTGGGTCTCGCGATCCATTCTTGCAGGGAAAGTTGAGCGTGAATGTTCGCTTGGCCCCTGTTATGTCGTTATTTTCAAACGTAGGCTAATCTTGAATCAACTTTTTAATCGTTTCCTTAACCAATAAACATGGCAACTGCACATAATGCTTGCGGATGATAAAGTGTTAATTTTGCAGATAGAGGGAAAAAAGGATAGTAGAAGTTGAATTCGGAAATTAGTGTGAAATAGCCTCATGAAAGCAATCCATACTTTCCATTCTACTATTTTAATTAACTTTGTGTAGATTGGGGAAATACTCAATTGCTTTCTTTCAATTGGCACGCTGAAAAGATAAAATATCCTATATTTTGATAAATTTGGTATCAGTAAAATTAAGGTTGTGTTTGGATGAGTGACTAGGGAAAGTAGGATGGTCATATCTCTATTTTCTAGGAAAGGATTGTTCGATTTTGATTTTTGGTTTGAGGGACATGATCATCACTGTTTTTGTGTTTGGTAGCGGAGAGATCGAGAAGTATGGAATGGATGTTATTTTTTACACCATTAGCAAGCAATTAGTTGCGGTCCCACATTTCATCCATGAGCCCACATGTCATCCTCTTCGTGTCGTGTCTTATCTTCTTCCATGATCTCCCTAGTCAAGAATCAAAGGCGCCGATGGAGAAGTTCAACATGTTCTGCAGAACTACTTCGGCAATACTTTTCAGCGAACGAACAATGTTTTCCTCTCACACCAAATCAGCATAAGCTAAATTTCAGCGAAACGAACAAGGCTGTTAGCTCATCGCCAAAGATCAAGCCTATTCCGGCCACTTCTAGCTCCCTGCTACCACCCCAATCACGTAGCCTGGCTTGACTTGGATCCGATCGTTGTCCACACAGGCTCCCCTGCTTTGCGCCATGGGCGCTGCCCATGTCCATGCCCACACCTGGCTCTGCCCATCGCACCTAAATAAGTTTTTCTTGATAATTTCTCATGTCAGTCGCTCAACTTCTTCAATATACTTGTTCAAATAAGTTTATAGAACAACTCATTAAATTACTCTTTTCACTTTAATTATAAGTTGCTCTGATTTTTTTGATACATAGATTTTACTATATATCTAAACATAATCAAAATGACTTATAATTTGGAGTTGATAGAGTAATAAGGTTTGAGTGAAACTTTTTTCACCATATAAACTGTTATACTAAGTTTATACAATGCCATATAACCTGGAGTAGCTACTATAAGAACACACAGTGTGCTGACTGCTGAGTTGAGTTCGGTGCTCCAATTGTCTTGTACTCTTACCACGAAGATGTCAAACTTTTAATTTTGTTCCACGTATAAGCATTGGGTCACCGTGCTTCCCCCGTCGCGGAGCCTGTTCGCACTTCGCAGCCTAGGCCGAGACAGCTCCCGTGCGTCGTCGTCGCCGCGGCCGCGCAACCCGCTTGCCGTGCGCCCAGTCGCTCCCGCCATCCACCCGCCCTCATGCCGTCACCGAGCGCTCGTCCGTGCACGCCGTTGTCGTGGCAACGTGACTGGCTCATCGCACCCCGCTCACGCACTATTGCCGTGCTCGCGCCCGCTCGCACCGCGCTCGCCGCCGCCGCGTGCCGCGCCACCGCTCCCGCCGTCGCAGCAGCCGCCGGACCTGCTTGTCACCTTGCTGGCCGTGCCCCTCGCTTGCGCACACCGTCGTGGCGTCGTCGCAGGCCGCTTGCAGCGCACCTCTGTGGGCACGTGCAGCGCGCCATGCACCCGCCCACGCATGTCGTGGTCATGGATTGGGAGAAGATGGAAGAGATCGAAGAAACAAGATAGGAGAGAGATTCTCATGCATTGGCTGTTCTTTTATGATCTAAAAATTCAATGTGTTTTGTGGTGTAGTTTCGAGATGTAGTTTATTGTTGATGCGGATGTTTTGAAAACTGGTAGATGGTTTTTGGGTTGGGATTTTTCTTTACCGAGTAAGGGCCTGTTTGACTCATAGCCACAGCGCGCCACGCCCGAAAGGCAGACGTCATACCCCTGTTTGGTTACTGCTGCGTCTTAGGCGTGCCGAAAGCGTGGCGCCACTCGCTGTGTAATTCTACACTAACTCTTGTCAAATGGTGGTGCTCGTTTTGTTCGCTGCATTTACGGCGCAACCAAACTCGCGGCACGATGATATGTAGTGGGAGCAGGACGACGCCACGTTATATTACCCTGGTGCACACAGGCACCACGGTGTATAGGCAAATTTCATTAGTAATTTGACTAATATTTACCATATATCGCAAGAAATATTTAGGTATTGCTTTGGTGGTGCACAACCTTGATTTTATTGCTAGCTTCGTCTTTGGGCGGGAGCCAAACAAGCCCTAAAGCATCATCAAAACGATTATAAGCGTTGTTCAAATCATCATCTCAAGCCGTTGATTCAGTGAAGAGTACACCATGCATATTATCTAACGAGTATCACATTTTTACATTGGTTACAACATAGTACAAGTACACCATGCATCGCACCACGAACATTCCATCATCAGTGACAGTCTACTCCGCAGTCCGCCCCCACAAAAAAATGAAGTTTCATATCGGCCATCAACCTAACAATGCATGTGTGGTAGCACTCCTCGAATTGCTAATTTCAACTCCTCATTTGGGGGTGAAGGCCTGGGTCAAGAACATAACAAGAATCCCAAATCAGTAACCGAATCGATCGCACAAAAGTTGTGACGACACATATGCAATGTGGATTAATTGATTCAGCTGACCTGGAAGATGGTGGCGTGGCCGGGGTCGGCGAGGTGGGCGAAGAGGTTGTCGATGGGGCCGGTGCCGGTGTACTCCGCCTGGAACCAGGCGCCCATGACGGCGAGCATAGCGAGGCGTCCGTTCTTGATCTCCTTCGTGCGCAGCTCCTTGATCTTCTCCGGCGAGCCGCTGCCCCAGCCGAGCGGGTCAAACCACAGGCCACCAGGGTACCTTATATAGCACGCAGATGAATAATTGTTAGCCTTTGGTATACCAAAAACTACTATATGAGTCTTTGTCTTCTGGATTGGATTCATGCAAAAGGAGAGAGATGTACCCGACGTCGGTGCCGGTGAGCTTGTTGCTGGGGAAGATGGGGTCGGTGTTGACGCTTCCGGGCTTGATGATGTCAGCCCAGCGGCGGCCCTCGGCCCAGCCGATGAGGATGAGCTCGATGATGAAGAGGGTGGTGGTGTCGGTGAAGTACTGCTGCTCGCCGGCGGTGTACCAGAAGGGCGTGTTGAGGATGCCGATCTTGGTCAAGAACTCCGGGATGAAGATGCCCGCCGCGCCGAGCATCGCCCACCGGCAGTGCACCAGCTCCGCCTGCACGTTCCACCGCAGGCTCTCCGGGTCAGATCCTGCACAGATCAATCGCCAACACATCCATGGACAGTTGGTTATCAACCGCTCAACGATTGTATATGTGCCCAGTGCACAGTGCACAGGAGAAGAGGTCGATCGGTGATCAGAACTCACCGAGGCCCCAGGGATCAAAGCCGAAGTCGCCGGGAAGGCTGCATGCATCATCGAGACAACAAGAGCACACTGTGTCAGAGTCACACTCGCAAGGAGAACCACCTGGCTAGCTTTAACGAATGAATGGAAGACGACTCCAAGGATCAGGATCAGCAGCCGACCTGCCGTCGAGCCACGGCGGAGGGGTGCTGCCGGGGAACCAGATCGGCCTGTTGGGGTCCGCCGCGGCGCGCACGGCGAACGACGGCCGGGCCGCCTCGGTGGCCTGCCTCAGCAGCGTCTTGCCGCCGAGGAAGGAGGACGACGCCCGCTGCCCATTCCTGGGGAGCGCCGCGACGACGGTGGTGGAGGACGAGGAGGCGGAGACGAGTGCCATTGCGCGCGCAAGCTGTGTGGCGTTGGAGAGCGTTGGGGCTGTGTGGTGGGCAGTTTAAGGGATCTCGCGGCGCGCGCGCGCCGGAGCGGGGCCGGCTTATCCGCGAGGGGATAGCGGGCGCGGGCGCCTCGTGCCACGCGGCGCGGGAGAATCTGCTCGTTTGGCTCTGGCACGCCGGATCGCGCTGACGTGGATCGCGCTCGGCTGCGAGCTGATAAAAAACAGGAGCGGGCACGGCATTGGGCGCTGCCATGTAGGCACGCTTCTGCTCATATCTGCTTTCGGCAAAGCATACTGTGACACTCACGTGTCGCGTGTCGTGTGCCACGCGGATTTCTTCGGCTTTAAAAGGAAGAGTAAGACTTGTTTAAAGTAGTGTGTGCTTGGTGTAAATCAAAGACTCAACAGATTCACAAATAAGAGTGGAAATCGTTGTTATTCATTGATCTATGGTTGTACGTATACATATATGTGAAAGGATGATTTCTGAAGGTGTGTCTTCTAAGAGTGGTCGATCACTAATAAAGTTATTCATAACACACCTCTTGATCACATCGTCATCCATCGTTTAGGTCAATGTATTGGATAATTCCCCTCAAAACCCTATGAAAAAATAATAGTATTGGATAATTCCCCTCAAAACCCTATGAAAAAATAATAAGAAATATATGTGGATATGTCATTAAAAACTCCTTAAAACCCAATGAGAAAAATAAGAAGAAATTGATACGACATATGTTGATTATTATCTTATTGTAAATTCACATAGGAAAAAAACCTTGGAAGGAAAAATCCATAACCAAGTTTAGAGAACAATAAATATGATTTGAGGATCATAACTATAATTTATGTCTTTGATATCTTCTAAAAAACACTGTGGGGAAATAAAATACATGACATATTTATGTCTTAGATGCCCCATATAAAAACCCCAACGAGGAAAAATAAGAGGTATTCCCTCATTAATTTGGAACAGAGGAAATATGACATATAAATTTGTATTTGTATTGCCTCATTAGAGACCTTATATGAGAAACATGTTTAAGGAAAAACTCATAGTGAAAAAAGTACAATACGATGTTTTAAACAGGTTATAGTTTCAAGATGAGTCTCCCCTTGAACCTTGCAATTTTTAAAGTCATTGCATACCAATCTCAGTAACGCATCGCGAAATGTGGAAATTGGTAGAAACCTTATGAATAAATCTTATGAAGTTATCACTTAATTTAATTTGCAAGGTGTTTATCTCCCCACTTTCATGAGAATAAACATTTTAGAAGGCAATATAGTGATATTGCTCTTGTGTAACCTATTTGGATCTAGGCAATACAAGCCACATTATCTTTATAGATAATGGCTAGTTATTCGATGGAATCAAAAGTGACCATTCAATGAAGTCATACATGTTCATGTAATACTTCAGAACGAAGAGGGAAAGTGACCACTAGAGTCTAAGTATGATGACTCCCACGAGAACTTCACCATTATAACATCAATATATGGTCTGGCATTATGGGGACTAAATAGCCATTATCTCGATACCCAACTATGGTCATATCTTAATTTGTATAACAATAAATTCAAGATCCTTTGTGTCATATAGATATCTATGGATATTCTCTTTGACTCCTATCTTTCGATGTAATAGAAGTTGCACTATTTCAAACTATAGCAAGGTATATATGCAAATGCAATATGAGGCTTGTTGTGATATATATGTAAGATACGTGAATGCTTAATTTGATGGCACTAAAGTTGTCATCCTAGGATCTGAATGGAGAATGATCCATGTTTAGGGATTGAATGATCATCAATGTTGATATTACGATTGTTCAATATTATTGGATATTGATAGACGGTATCGTTTGAATATTGGAAGGCTGATGTAAGTGCTTAAGTTATAGATTTAAGCATAGTTTGATTTCATCTTAAATTATGTTTTATATGATGATACCTCATATGAGATGTATAAAATCCGATTAGAATTTCATTACGATAACAAAGGTGAAATCATCAACAAGTGGGGCCCACATCCTCGTCGGAAGAGAGGTAGCTGCCGCCGCTATTGGAACTCGTGTCGGTGTGCCCGTTCGGCAACAACCGAGTGAAAACCGTGGGGTGATGACCTCGGTATTGAGAGGACAGGACGTTGCACGCGTAGAGGCGCGGTCTTGACACAAGGCAAGAATGTCTCGCCGACCATGGGCATCGCCACCGCTATGCAGCCTGTTCGTTTGGGCTGATTTGGCTTATAAGCCATGACTGAAAGTACTGTTAGCTGGTTTGGTGTGAAAGAAAATACTGTTTGTTGACCGATAAGCCATGACTTATAAGGCAAATACGACCAAACGAATAAGCTGATGAGTTGCTCGCCTGCTTTGGAGCCTATGCCAGAGGCAGAGTCTCTGCAACTGTAGACGGGAGGCACATCGATGACCACATGGGTATTGACTATTACGGTCGAAGAGTACACAGTAGTGGTCGTGGATGAAGGACAATGAAGTCGAATCCTTCAACTGTAATAAGCAAGATTTGAACAACACCAGTATTGGCTTACTGTATGATTTTTGCTGATTGTAGAAACGATAACACCTTCATGTCTGATGCAAGGTCGACGGCGAACGGATTCGATGGAGATTGACGGTGCTTGTCGTTCATCCTCCGATCTTCTCTAAAATGGCCTGTGCTAATGTAGAGAGTGATCGTTCTTGATTGGCATGGCGGTCGGCAACCGCACTTCTTTCTCCAGTTCTTCTCTCGAACTACTGATACAGAGCGAAAGTTCTCGGCAAAGTCAGCGTGCTTGATAACGTGTTTAAAGAGTGTGCTTGATGTAAATCAAAGACTAAAGAGACAAATAAGAGTGGAAATCTTTGTTATTCATTGATCCATGGTTGTACATATATTTACATGTGAAAGCACAACTTCTAAAGAGGTGTCTTCTAAAAGAGCAGTTGATCACTAAAAAAAAAATCATAACAAGCCTAATGTGACGGACTGAAAAATTTGTGACAACAGCAAACTGGATGTAGCTTCCTAATAAAAACATAGGCAAATGGTGAAACCTTGTTTAAATAATACATCATGGCCAAAAAAATTGGAAAACTTGTTTGAACTACCAAAAGAAATGTCAAACTTTCTGGGTGCCCGAATGTAGAGGCCAGTGGGGACCAGGGAGGACGATGGCATGAAACTGCCGGCGATGCACGACTGCCTGAAGCCCAGCGGCTAACAAGAAGCACAAGATAGAAGGCATCCGACCTCATCAAAAACAAAAAAGACAGAAGGCATCCGGTGGCCAAAAAAAAGGTTTCATTTTACTTCCACAATCTTAGTTAAAGTCAAATTTGCCTCCCATATTCGAAAACAATTTTTTTTGGATTATCAAACGGGCATCCTAGCCCCCGGACGCCGCTCCCCTTCCCAAACCGCCCTCTCCCGCAGAATCGGATCCCAACCCCCCAATGGAATGGAACAGAATCCGAACACCGCTCTCCTCCCCAACGCACCCCGTTCCCCCACCGCGCCCCTGTCCCAAATACCACGAAACACTTCAAGTGCAACATCGCAAACATATGGAAAACTATGTAGTGCAACATCTGAATATAAATACAGCAACATCGTAAAAATATGTAGTGCAACATCGAAAAACATGTACTACAACATCGGAAAATATGTACTGCAACAACGAAATTTATGTACTACAACATCGAAAATTATGTACTGCAACATTGCAAAAATATGTAGCACAATATCGAAAAAAACATGTACTGTAACATCAAAAAAATATGTAATGCAACATCGAAAATTATATGCTGCAACATAAAAAATAGTAGTACTGCAACATCGCAAAAACATTTGTTGCAACGACCCAAAAATCGCATTACAACATTCGAAAATCATCTATTGCAACATAAAAAAACCATTGCAACACGAGAGAAACAACAACAAAAAAGCGTACAAAACAGCCCCTCTTCGAGCTCGCCGGAGAGAGGAGGGAATAGGACCCAGAGCTCACTGGAACCCTAGCCACCACCGCGTCCCTTAGATCCATAGGAGGAGGAGGGCTCAAATCCAGAGGAGGATGAGGAGGGCTCAGATCCAGAGAAGGACCGATCTACCTCGTCGGAGCCGCCACGGTCGCCCTCGTCTCCGGTGGGGGAGGGAGGGAGCGCGGGCGGGCGGGGTGACAGCGAGCTGGCGTGCGGGCGCGGCTTGGGTCCATCCCGGGGACGCAAGCAGGCCCGAAGAAGCGGCGCGGCTGTGCGGCAGCGAGTGGGCGCGGGGGAGAGTGCGGGCGAAGTGGGCGTGGGGGAGCGGAGGGAGTGGAGGGGGTGAAGGTCACGGGATCGAAATAGAATGGGATGTGTCCGGCGCACGAGTTGAAGACGGATGTCCTAATAGAATCATTATGGATTCTCAAAACTGTTTTTTAGAGGACGAGATGTCACACGTTGGATTCACTAACTAATATTTACCTTATTAGCGGCAAAGGGAGATAAAAAATAGACTTTGTATAAAAACTATAGAAATTATCTTTTCAAAAACTTATTCATTTTTTCAAGAAAAATTATGCAATTAAAAATTTTAAATAATTTAATCCTAGAAAATCTAAATAAACTTTTTAAGTTGGAAAAATATATGAAACCAGTTTCGTTTTTTTTTCTAAAATCATGCTATACCATGTACTGACTAGTTTGAACTATTTGAATCTTAAATAGTCTCCTTTTGTTGTTTACCTTTTGTTATATTTTCTATGTTGTTGACACAAATTACGTAAGAGCTCAAATGACTTTGACGGCAACACAACTAGAATGTATTTACAAGTGAGAGTCTTAGGGTACAAAACAAATTATCTTAAAAGTTAAAGGGTGGCCAGCATGTGGACATGTGTTTATAGTTTTTTCCGAGAAATACATGTGGTTTCATCGTGGGGAGAGAAAACGCACTCTATGAGCATAAAATAAAATAAAATAAAATAAAATAAGGAGGTAAAAGGAGTTTTCCTAGGTGTTCAAAGTCCATACCGGGCGGCGAGTTGGGCTCCTCATTAGGCCCGAGAGTTAAAAGCACAAACCGAGCAGGCGAGTTGGGTTTATGGCTACGTCTGGCTTAATTGGATTCCGAATCGAATACAGCAGGAATAGCGGTAGCCCTGTCGCGTTTGCGTTGCGTGTGGCAATAAAACCGGGGCTCCGCTCCCGCCAACCGTTCCTTTCTCTGAAGAGTCTGCATAACTCGGGTAGACTTCACCCTCAAACTATCTACCCTTTGAATTTTTTAAACCGGCCAAATAACCCTTCAGGCGGTTTTAGACGGTGGTTTTACTATAATGACTATGGTTTTGTCTTTTTCTTTTTTATTTCTTTCCGCTAAATCTTTGAAAAATCACAGTAAATCACAAAAAAAACCCATAAAACGGAAAATTCAATTTTGTTGGACTTCACATGAGTAGGTCTACACAATGAATATATAGGTCATGTTCGCTTCGCTGAAAAAACAAGCTGAAACACTGTTCCGGTTGATTTGTTGTGAGAGAAAAACACTGTTTCGGCTGAAAAAACAAGCCGAAAAGTACGGATTATAAGTCAAGCGAACATGACTATAATATAGTATTCTTTAGTACAAAGTTTTTGCTGTAGCTTTAGATATATGCTTTTCTGTTATTAATTGGAATAATTTATAGCTACAACTTTTATGTCTAATTATGGTGAAAATTTTATGGTAGACTAATTATGATTGAACTATAGTAAAATTTTATACTCATATAACTAAGTTATACATAATCTAATGAGTGTAAAATTTTTACTACAGTTTAAGCATACAATAATTAGATCACCGTAAAAATTTCACCACAATTGGACCATAGAAGCTGCAGCCATGAATTATTCCAATTAATTATAGAAAAACATAGATTTAAAGTTACAGCAAAAACTTTGTACTAAAGCATACTGTATTATATGTTCACTGTGTACATCTATTCACGTGGAGTCCAACAAAATTAGATTTTCTATTTTATAATTTTTCTATGATTTACTATTATTTTTCAAAGATTCAGCTAAAACAAATAAAAAAATAAAGATAAAACCACCGTCTAAAATCGCCGGAGGAGTTATTTGATCGGTTTTAGAAAGCTCAGATAGTAAAAAAATCTGGTTTTATAATTTAGAGATAAAATAGTTCATCCAAAATAGTTGAGGGGTTCGTCTAGAAGTTTTCCTTCCTTTCTTCTACCGTCGTGTCCACGCGAGTCAATAGCCGCCGGCGCCACAGCCCTCGCCAATCGCCACCTGTCCATCCAGATCTAGAGCTCCATCGATCGCACCTGCTGCGATGGGAGCTGGTGACCGTGACCTCAAGAGGAAAGAAGCGAGCGTGTCGGAGAGGAAAGAGGCGAACGTGTTGGAGACGGAGAGCGGTGACGACAACCTCAAGAAGATCCAGGCGATGCCTCTTTTGGCGACTAAGCCGGCCACGGCCGGGGCCGGGAAGAAGAGGAAGAAGCTTGTCAAGACAAGACTACCGCAGGAGCTCGTCGACGAAATCATGACGAGGCCCGTGACGCCCTTCCCGGTGATCCCTGATGAGTTGGTGGCCGAGTTCTCTGAGGAGTGCCGAGCAGCCTTTGCAATGCAGAAAGCTGACATTGAGGAGCTGATGGCCGTCGACGCCGACATCATCAGGCAGTACAAAGACAACGGCTGCGCGGAGGTGGAAGAGGAGGTCACCGACAATGAGGAGGGGAAGGTGGAGGATTAGGGAAGAGGAGGAGGTTACCAAAAACGCAGAGGAGAACCCTAGATTATGATCATCTGCTCAATTTCAGATGTAATTCAGCTGTTCAGTTCTGTTTGGATATATTCCTTGAAATTTGACCTGGTTGTATGGAATATTATGCAATTTCTGTGTTGTTGCGACTCTGTTTGTCTGGATGCAGTGCCAGGGAGCAGCAAATATGTTGCTCGCTGAATCTTTGATGTTTATATAGTAAGATGCTGAGATCAACAAGCCACATTGTTTTTGTTCCCATTATTGTGCGTGGGATAATCTTTTATTGTTCCCATTTCTGGTTCAGAATGACGTGGAGCTCCAATCTATTCAACTTTTTTAACGTGATGAAATGGGCTTATTCTCTTGTTCATCAAGTGTTGTTTGATGATAGTCCGGATGCTTCTTTTTGTTAGACAGAGATCATCTTCTGATGTCCACAATCACTGCTACAAAGGCAGCTCAGTAGTGGACATGGTCAGAAAGTTGATGATGGTAGATCTGGAAGTGGAATCAGAGTAGTTGGCAAATAGCAGGTTATGAGTTTTGATTTATGAATATTGAATAGTCTGCCGATATACTGATATAAATTCTTTTGTATTACTGATAGATTGATGCTACTGCAAGACCATATGCTCAAATTTGAGTAATGGAGACCTGGTATCGTCCAAAGTCTTATATATTCTAAACTGAAAGAGTAAAAGCTGATAAATGTTTGAACTTTAGAAAAATCCATATGGATGGGAGTAAAAACTTGTAAATTCATGCCCCTACAGTATTAAATGTACAACAATTTTATTTTGTATTTTGTACTGATGGCCTCATGATACGCCCAGCGGCGGATTCAACGGTGGCGGGGGGGGGGGGCTCGAGCCCCCCCTACCGATACCGGAGCCCTGGAGCCCCCATGAATTTTTAGGCAAAGTTCTATCGTGTAGGTGGGGCTGAGACTTAAGATCGAGCAGCAGTCGGAGGTATGTTGCTGTCGCACTTTTGTTCAGCCCCCCTAAATTTTTTCCTGGATCCGCCGCCTCATGCCCTCATATAACCCTGTATAGAATTGGGTGCTTACTTCGAACCAAACATCTCCTTAGACCTTGTTTGATTGCACTCTAATCCAGTGGCGGAGCCACCGTCCGCGGGACCCCGGGCGGTAGTCCGGGCTCGACGTCGGCGAAGTGTAAAGGGATTTGTTGTTCGTATGAAAGAGGAACACTGTTTTCTATGAATATCTGTGCATAGTGACAATAATAGCCTGGGCTCCTAAAAGTTTCCGGCTCTGCTACTGCTCTAATCTACTACAAACAAGACCTTAGATTGGAGTGTAGGCAAACAAGGCCTTAGTGTTCCCGGGTAGGCACGTTTTCTGTTCACACGGTAAATTTGTGCTTCAAATGGTGAAATGGAACAGTAAAGCATCAGTGCAACGAGTGTTGTGTGGATAGCATTACCAAGCCACATCTTGTTTTTTCATTGGGTAAAACAAGGGGAAAAATCGTCTTATAGAAGATGAAGAAAAACTATCTGCTCAATTTTCAGTTCCATAAAAATACAGTAGCAAATGTTTATAGAGCATAAACATGTCCTCCAGTCCCCCAGGTCCCAACCCCAACAATACCCCGTTCAAATCTTTAAACCGAGAGTGATCATAAACGAAGAAGAGATGTATGATGGCGTACCATGCGTTGCATCCTCAACCAATAACTCAAGAGGCTTCACAGGTTTCAGCTCTTTCACCTTTTCTTTTGCACTAACTTGTGTTCTCAGCATTTAGTATCACACACCAAACCGAAACGGGGCGTGGCACAGAAAGGCAGAAAAGGAGTCTGCACCAAAACCGCTGCCGACCTGGGGGCAGGTGTCGATAGAAGTAGAACCGATCATTTTCCCTTTTTCTAATCACAATCATGCTTCTAAAAGAAAAAAGCTTTCGCAGAGGAAGTCAACAACACAAGATCAGAGCCTGATCTCGACTCTTGGACTTGTCACCCGTTACATCGTTGAGCAAATCGCGTAGAACATCACTTAGTAGTCCATCTTCTCACAAGGCTGGTGATCTTCAGCTAATAAAAGTTTCACAGTTTATTGCTATAGGTAGAACAGTATAGACCAGGGCGTAAAAAGCCCTGGAGTTTCTCGCCAGATCTTGCACACCCTGCATCATGCCCAAAATTTTGGTTCTGCGCAACTGCGCGTGCATTATTCAGAGATGTGCAGTCTACTACGAAACTCTGGACCACACTTACCCATCAGTGTGTATGCATGTACTCCTTAACTCTGTTGAAAACTAGAAATGCAAGTTCTTCTTGGACCCGTGCTTGGCCTTGATCATCTGGTTCAGGGCCTTCACGCACCGGCGTATCATCCCCATCGATTTCTTCCCTCCCTCGGGTCGCTTTATCACCATGGCCAGCATCGTGCCGCCTGCTGCTGCTCCTGATCCTGAAACCTTGTGATCAGCAAGGACACTCTCTCCACGGTTGCCTAGCTTGCTGGTAGGCATTGCCTCGCCGGTTGGAAGCTGCTTCTGTTGTATAAGCTCCTGAAGGGAGAACCGGGGCACGTTGTCCACAAGACGTGGTGGCGTGGCTACCTTCTTCAATGCCTGGAATTGCTCTGGCGCCTTCTGCTGAATGTCATGGCGTTCCTGCTGAGACTTCTGCTCCTCCTCATCTTCAGATTGTGACGCCTGCTCATCTGCCTCTTGATGTTGTTGAAGTTCCTTCGGCTCCTCGTCTTGGAATCGCCCAGGTGCAGTCTCCTCAATTTCTTCAGGTAGGTTGGGTGTCACCAGGTGCTCCTCGTCTTGGAATCGCTCTGATGCAGTCTCCTTCTCATCTTCTTCAGGTAGGTTTGGTGTCACCAGCTCCACGTTCTGGAATTGCTCTGATGCAGTCTCCTTCTCATCTTCTTCAGGTAGGTTTGGTGTCACCAACTCCTGTTCTTGGTATTGTTCATCTTCATCTTGATACTGCTCTGGCGTCTTCTCTTCGTCTAGATACTGGTCCGGTTTCTTCTCATCATCTTGATATGGATCTGGTATCTCCTGCTCTTCGTCTGGATATTGCTGTGAGTCCTTCTGCTCATCTTCATATTGCTCTGGCGTCTTTTGCTCATCATCTTCATACTGCAGTGGTACTTGTGGAGTCTTCGTCTCCTCATCTTCATTCGAACACAGCGTCTTCTGTTCCGCATCCTCACATTGCTGGACTGCCTTCAGCTCTTCATCTTGGCATTGCAGAAATGCCTTCAGCTCTTGGTGGCGATGCTGTGCTAGGGACAGTGTATACTGATCTTGAAAGCAGGCTACCAGGCTTGTCGATCGCCGAGTTCGCCTCGACATGGCAATGTCGAAGCGGCGAGACTTGCCCACATCTAGTTCGGTGGCCATTGTCTATGGTCTAAAGAGTAAGGCCAGCAGAGCACCAGAAGTGTGGATTTGCATCTTCTCTGGTGGAGGAGTTATAAGGTCCCCAGATGTGATCAATTGCGCAGTCCGTACTGGGAATCAGTGAAATGGTGAGGCGTCAACTTCAGAGGTGAAGTCCAGTTTGGTCATTTGTAAGATCAGTGCCTGTCGTGGTAGCTTTATCATCCCTACATGAAGTGAGATCCAAGTTAGCAGCAGTAGGCAAGTGACAATTATTCTGCCATAATAAACATCTGATATCTTTGTGCTTTGCTGGATGGCAATATGACATTTATTCTGTCCCAGGAACGCCAGAACTAGGGACAAAGTTCTGGAACCAAGGAAAATTACCTGTGTAACTGAAGCCTTGTCCAACAACAAAACCCGAATGATAACCAGCAGGATTTGGTTTCAAGTGAAAGATATGGATGGCATGCTTTACATACTTGACTGCAGAATTAATCGATCATTTGTACAGCTGTAACGTTAAGGGTTGTTGGTTTCTGAACATTCCCTGATTTATGTTATTTCCTTTCAGTATATGAAACTGACATCCTAAACCAGGACCCGATGCCAGTTTCAATAGAAATCATTTTAATCTAGCAAAAAAAAAAACCACTTTAAGAAATAAACTCAGATAGCAGGTTTCTAAGAGTTGCTTGTGCAACTTGGCAGAAGTGCAAAATCTAAAGAGTCTGTCCACCCAATAACCATGTGTTTATGCAGTTTCAACACATGAATTTTTTTTGCACCATAGAATTAAAATCCAACAGCCTCCACCCTCCTTCTACCTCCAGCCTTCAGCCTTCTTCTATCTCCAGACAATCACAAATCACAAGATCACAGATCCACATATCACAAGAAATAATTTTTTTTCTATGAAAGGACAAATCACAGCAGAGGAGGAGAGGCTACTGGAGCCGGATCCGCTACAGACCGAGCTGCACGTTGCGCGGCGTCAGAGAACGCGTGCGTGCATCAGAGAACACGTACGTCGCTTCGCTTGGACATAGCGACGGCGCGGGCGGGATCAGAGGACGCGTGCGTGCGTTGCACAGCGTCAGCAGAACGGAGGGAAAAAAAGGGGAAAAATCCATGTGTTTTTTTCGCTAAAACACATGTGTCTGAATCTAAAAAGATTATCCTTCACCTAAAAGCAGCAATTAAATAACACTCAAGCATAAAGTACACCTTTATGTCACAACTGACATCAAACAAAACATGGCTCCTTTGCGACCATCTCAGGCCACATTAAGATTTTTTTTACAAGGTCAATCGTGCTTAGATACAGACAGAATCCCCTATCTTGCAAATCTCATTGTCCACTCAGCTGCTATTTCATCGTGTTTAGCTCTATCAGTCAGATACTGACGTGAAATGCTCATCACAAGCGGCGTGTCTGCACAAACAAAGATCATAACTTTAGCCTGTCAATCGAATAACAAAACGTAAGGCTTTCAATTGTTGAAGTAAAGTAGAAAATATGTAGACAGTAGGCTTAATTTGCACCAGAATCCATGGTTGTTTACAGAAGGTATTACAGAGAATGGTAAGTACATGGATCTGGATTGCTGATGATGTCTTTGATGGCCAATAACACCTTTGAAATAGTGAAAGCTGGACTCCAGCCATCCTTCAGAATGTCCAAATGCACTTTACCAGTGGAATCAATATTGCAGTGGTAAATCCTTGTTTTGAAAGTTACCTGGGAGAATACCAGCATAACACACAGTAGGAGTTGTTATTTAACTAAATTGTCCGATCCAAACTAAATGTACTCAATTTGAATAGATTTCACAGAAGAGTAAAACAACTTGTGAAACTTCCAATATTAACATGTGAAATGTCACGTCATGATTAACATTGCTGGTAACACTACATACATAAGTATAGATCTGACAATAGAGTGTTGGAAAGATATTTTGAGAACACACACACACACACAAAGCAAAGCCTTTCATGGTAAAACTGTGCCACTGAAGATTTATATGGTAGGTGAAAGACAAAATGGAGGTCGGCTGTTTCTGGTCCCTCATATGTCAAGCAACCTGTCAAAAGTCAGAAAGTAAACATGAAATAGATGGTTGCAATGTTGCCAATTACCATCATATCAACAACATGAATGGGTGGAGTCTTTTTTCTTTTGGTGACCGTGACGTTGCATGTTTTTCATTAAGAGGAAAGGCTAGTTTTTACAGGTTTCTTACATAGCCGTAAGCCTAGGCTTACCACAAGTAAGCAGTCTCCCCGATTAATCTTATATTACAAAACTATTTTGCGACCAACCAGAGCTGCTAAACAGGCGAGCAATACTGGAGTTATTTGCTCTCAACAAGCCAGCTAACGACAAGAAATGTGAATAGCCCGCCGAGAGTGGAGTAGTGGGCTACGCATTTAGAATCACTTCCCTCAGTTAGCAGACTCTCTTATATTCTAAGCGAAGATAACAATATGTCACTGTCACTGTGTGATAAGAGGTGATGTCAAAAGTACATGTTATAGTGGTAAGGCTTTGACCGAGAAAAAACAATTGTAGGATATCTTAGCTAAGAAAAATATTAAAGCAAGCTAGGAAAAAAAAATCTTAGCAGCCTGCTTCCTTTCTTTTTTTAAGCAACAACAGTAAACTAAAAACTTCATATAGTTTTTCTTCATACATCAATATCGTACCAAGAAGACAAAAACATCACACTTTCAGTACTTCAGCTGAAAACGTAACAACACCGCTTTAGAAGAAATAGGCTAACTTTAGTTAGCAGCAAAGAAAACTATCTTTTAGCATGTAATATTTTTCTCAATAGTTCCACTCCTCGCCATCAGACACACGCCTCCCTGCCAATATCGTCTAGTGAGGTGCGGTCATGTGGCACTTCTAGAGTTATCTTCATTCTTGACAGAGAGCCGAATGCACTATTATTTGTCTAGGCCAAAGTAAATATTGGTAAACTATTGTTTTCAAGTTAAGTTTTCCCCCATAATATGATAGATGACAATTGAAATTTTATGGATATAAGGCTTCAAGGACAATCGACTCTCTGCACTTTATAAAGCATACTGAAGTCATCATTCTGTTAACACACTGTGTGCATGGTTTTTTATTCAGTTTCCTAGGAAGAATTGTAATGTAAATTCAGAATCCCAAGGGCAGAACAATCAGAACTATTACCAGCCTAAATGTTCTGATCTCCCACTTCATTTTTTCTTATGAATACTTTCTAGTACTTTGGCGGTCAAGGGCACCAATCATCACAACTGAGCGTGACATACAAATTAGTTAAAGCTTGTCCATTCAAAAAGAGTACAAGAAGCAGGAATCATGGGATTAGGTAGAAGGTATGCATAACAAGAAGAGAAATGTCAAGTCGGAGCTTAAGTTTTCCCTTTTCAGGGCACACTAAGCAGAGATTTCCCAGCACAATTCAACAGCCAGTGGCACATAGAAGTGCATTAATAGCAAAAATGTGAATTCTTACCATGGGAGGTTTGAAGGGATAATCAGGAGGAAACACGATGTCAAGGAAAAATACCCCTCCTTCGTATGGCGATCCTGCAAGACGTAAATTATGTGTCAACTCAACCCGCACTTCCATGCTTATTTCACAGCTCAACTTACAGCACCTACTCTAAAAATAGCAGCAGCAATCTTAAAAAAAAAGCAGCTTGTTGAAGTGAAACTGCCATCTAGCGCACTAAAATTTCCACGAGCTTTGGACTGTCTCTAACGAATTGGAGAATTGGAGAGGAGGGAGCTCTTACCTTGGGGCCCGATGATGGTGGAGAGCCAGTGGTAGAGGTTGTCGCCCTTGGGTCCCGCGGAGCAGTCAGAGGCGTTGAGGTCCAGCAGCTCCTTCTGTATCCGTTTCCCAGATGAAGACACCGACGTCCCGCCGCTCGACCCCCACGGCCGCACGCTGCTCCCGCCTCCACCGCCGCTTCCGCCGGGGGCCCCGGCGCCGGCGGCGAAGGGGAAGCGGGAGTTGGGGAAGGAGGAGGACGAGGACATAGCCGCCGCGGGGCTCCGATTCGGGGGATTTTTAACTTTTGCCATCCGACGACACTCGTTTATTTTTTTTCCACTTTTATACGCGCTCCTATATAATTATCATCGTAAACAGTGAACCTCCTACGTTTTTATCATTTTTGCTGACGTGGCATGTCAGGTGAGCACGCAGGTGTGGCAGGGAGCCTGAGAAGACCTACAAAGCATGTGAAATGACCTATTTACCCCTGTTGCTTCTCTCCCTCTACTCGATGACGCGTGGACCCCACACGTCAGCTTTGTCTTAAACCTCCAGCCATTCGGCGACTTCCTGGAGCTCGACTGGTGTGACTCCACCCTGGCGTTGTCCAGGCTCGCGCGGGGCTCCTTTGCGCTGCACCGTCGCCTCGTCGTACCCGCTCGTCCCGTCCACACGCTCTCCGTCCTGCTGCCCACGCACCTCAGGCCCGCCCCTGCCTCGCCGTACCCACAGTTCCCGCCCTGGGTCGACCTTCCGCGTCCGCCGCGCCGCCGAGGGACCTTGGGACACCACCGCGTAGGTCCACCCGGGCCTTTTCACCAAGGCCGTCCTCGCCGCGTCGGGCGCCGAGGTCGTCATCGGCGAGGTGGAGCGCGTCGTGGCCCGGGACGGCCGCGTCGCCGGCGTCGTGGTGAAGGGGCACGACGCCGTGGTGGACACCGACGCCGTCGTGCTCGCGCTTGGGCCCTGGTCCGGCTGCCTCGAGGTCGTCAGCGAGGTGTTCGACGTGTCCGGGCTCAAGGCGCACAGCGGCGCACAGCATCGTGCTCCGGCCGCGCGAGACCGAGAAGATCACGCTACACTGCCTCTTCCTTAGCTACCAGCCGGAGCCCGGCGCTAAGATGCTCGACCCCGAGGTGTACCCGCGGCCCACTGGTACGCCATTGCTGTCTGTCACGAGTTCCCCTTCCCTCTCTGTGTGGTGATGGCTGGAGGTTGAAGACAAAGCTGACGTGTGGGGCC